TTATTTTGAAATAGTAAATTATTCTGATAGCTATGAATTTATTTCAGAACTCAAGTAAAAACATGATTCATAGTTTCAAGTTTTAACTTGTGTCAGCAGTCTCATGACCACTCACTGTTTTTATTATTGCTATTATTATTGTTTTTATTAATGCTAATATTGTTATTATGATGATAATTTTTATTATTGTTGTTATTGTTATTTTTATTATTATAATTGCAAGTGCCCCTCTTGTCAGCCCCAAGTGTGTAAACCTGTATTAATTATTAGTACTATTAGTTACGCTGCATTTGAGTGTGTATGTGGAGGGAGTCCTTGAAAAAAGGTTTAAAATTGTATGTATCCATATAGCTTTTTTTTTTTTTTCATGAAAGTGCTCTTTGTCCGGCTCCTTTTAATAAGGGCACTACTATGGGCACTTAGCACTTGGGAAAGGGACAAGAAAATGGATGGGAGGCCTCCCATTACAGAAGGGGGGTAGGGGGAGATTAGGAAATTTTAGCTGCGAGAAGGTGGCCTAAACCCTTTGCAAGGAGCATTGTGTGGTGAAAAAGCACATGTGAAAAATTACAGAGGTTACATTTTTAAATAGTATCTATACAGTTCAACATGGCACCAAGCTACGCTTATAGGTGAGCCTACCGTGTTCTATGCCTTAACCTACAGTTAAACCAGTAACTAGGGCTGCCAACTTGACTATCGTCCTGCCAAGGGACGTTGACTCCAAAGAAAAGAGAGAGCCAACAGCAAATTTACGACTACTAAGGTTATTGCCAAGATCTTTATGTCAAGGATGGTAAATCTCAAGGTATAGTAGCACCACATAGTGTCACCGTCAACTCAATGTGTACATGTTGGTGTGTAAGGCGCGTGTCTATCAGGAGAAGCCATGCGAGGTGGCCCCTGAAATCAAGATAAGACAGAAAAAGAGAGAGAGAGAGAGAGAGAGAATGAGAGAGTAAAAGTGCGTGGCCATCGCGTGTCGTGCCCCATGTGTAGCACAATGTCGTACCAAGAGTTCTGAGTCTGGACGCCCGCGTATGTATCATCCTTTTTTTAGAATGAAATTTATGTCTTTTATTACAGTGCCATTCTTCTCCTTCCCGCTACAGTAAGCGCCAAAACAGTCTCGAAAGCGAAATCTCATAAAGCATGATAATCTAATAAACGCCTAGGTCTATATGCTGTTTGTTTAAAGAGAAATTAAAAAGGAGGGTACTGCTGTAGGAAGGAAGAAGAACAGAAGAAATACAGAAATGTATGTGGTATAAAAATATAAAGACACATACATAACTAGTGAAAATAGCGAAACTTTTGTAATTGTCGCATTTCATGTTACAGGCTGAGTGTTGTAAATGACAACGCCAAAGTGTACGTATAAAGGTACTTACTATTTAATTGGAACTGCGCCACGTTCAAGGTTGCACATGTGAGAGCAGACAAATACATTAATAGTGCGATGATGTGCAAGGACGCACTAATTGGTGGGCTTTACGCATCACTTTTGCTATAGCCCTGGATTAAGTGTCTTAGGGTGTGAAACGCAACATCGCACTTTGGAGGACGTAGTTCAGCGCTTTTTACTTTTTGCGTCCATGTCCTCTTTCTGAGATTGTTATTTGCAAGTCACACCTATCGTTTCTCCTTAGGAGAGTAGCTTGCTTCCCAACGAGCTATCCCTGGTAGGACATCCTCTGGATGAGAGTCTCTAGGAGCTGAACCAGGTTCACCAACCCGCGAGCATCATGCGTATAGGATGACTTTTACATTGAACTACTAATAAGCTGAAATGCTTGCTAAGATACAGAGTATCACAGACATTGTCACGTATCTCAGTGTTTTCTGTGAAGAGAAAATGCAGAAAAGGTGGTGACACTTAACAAAGATACAAAAAAAGAACTGGTGAGGTCAAGAAACAAAACAAAATCTGGTGTTGGCATGAGCTCTTTGCCGAGATCAAGAGGGACATCAAGGGCGTAGGGTAGCCCATGGTTACACCATGACTGAGTGGTTCGGGACCAGTAAGACTTATGGAGTCGTTGTTTTTGCAGGATGCTGTCAGGGCTCTATTATTGGTTATCTAGGGAAAGAAAGACCTAAGGGGCCATGGTAAATAAGAATCCATTATTTACTAAATGTAGGCTGCCCACGGTTCCATTGGCACTGCCGGGACCAATGGTTTCAGAACTTGATAAATACTTCGTGAAGGATAAGGGCAAAAGCTTGTTCCAGACTCTGTGTATGCTGGATGACAAAGATAAAGTGTGAGAGAGAATGTCCATACAGTTTTATGTAAGATGGTGTCTCCAGCTGACAACAAGTGAGGGCTTAGAGTTGGAGAATCAGTATTCCATGGCCTGTTCAAAGTTTTTAAGTATACGAAACGGGCATGTCAAACTCTCTACCATATAACAAATACTTAATTCTTGATTACATTGGACTATAAGACCACTTTTAACTTGAAAATGTAATCTGATATAAGAAGAAATACAGTAAAAAGACGAGAATTAAATGGATAAACGATGAGGGTGGCTTAGGGCTCTGCACTGGATTTAGACTTCTAAAACCTTTTATACGATAGACTTCTACGCTTAAGAGTGAGACAAGCTGGTGGGATTGACACATAATATTAGTCTGGTCGTCCTACTATTATTTCAGGCACAAGTTCAGCTTTGGATTAAGTAGGGTATTCCTAGAATGTCATAAGGACTGAGAGCTCATAGCTTCTGAGAGGTCACAAGCTGGATTATTTCTGCTCTCATCTATGTGAATGCACAGCCCAAGGCTGCTTGTGTTTGATGCTTTCTTTACATGCGTATTCTGTACACACTCATTTTTTACTTTCGCTGTGAGTGGGACCTGAATGTCTAGAAGGGCCAACAAAAACTGTTACCAGTCCTAAATAGAAGTAAAAGAGAGTGTTGCACCATTATTTTCTGATACGAAAATACTAGCAGTTTCCTTCCCTTAATGGCTTAATAAATTTAGCGGCAAGTAGAAGAGAATAATCAAAGTTTAATAAAACCGGGTGACTACATTTGATACGGCTGACGGTTTGTTAACGAAAAAAAATATTAGGCTGACAAATCTTTAATAATCACTACGAAGGCGGCTGCATGGTGTCATTTTTTAAAATATTATTTGCACCAAATTCTTATGTTAGATTCTCTGCTCTAGTCGTAAGTTAGCATATTTATTGCTTATCTTGCTAAGGTACTAACATGCTGACATAAATATTGACTACTTTAAAAATAATACAAGTATAACACTAACACTAAACTAACACAAGTATACTTACGAGTTGCTTCAGTTTGCGCATCACGCAAGAAGCATTCTTCTCTGGAAACAGAGACGGCTGCTGCCTTAATTTTAACGCTTCCTTAATTTTTATCATAGGGAAAAAAAGAGTAGTCCTGGCTTTCGTGGTTCAGCATGTCACTCAAAAAAAAGCAAAAATAAAAAACGTAAATGCAAAACAAATATCCCAGGTAGTAATCTCTCACAGAAAATTCACTAGCAGTTCCGATCCAGTAAAAGCCCAGATGACTGTCGCAGGCCCCACAAATTCTGGCGGGGGAAGGAAGGGGGCATAAATACGCTATTCCTAACCAGCAGACACTGTTAAATGTCCTATGGTCATTTTTACATAAACGATGATGAATAAGTGTCTTAAGTATTAGCAGTAACGTTAGAAAATAAATCAACATTACTGTCCATAGCAATCAGACGTAAGAGAAGCTTGAATCCATGTTAAAGAATAATAAGAAGCTAAGAAAAATTTAAAATTAAGAGATATGGCCACGTATCCTATGACTATAAACACACTCCCTCTAAAAAAAAAAAGAAACTACTACTACTACTACTACTACTACTACTACTAATACATACATTACACACGAACACCATTCTCAGACTACTACTCTCCCTAAGCCGAAGGTGTCATGCGTACCGTGCCGAAAGGTTAGTTGGCCGCCGGGGTACTGGCGGTCTCAAACGGTGCCTCGTGGATACCTGGCGACCTCCACGAGTACTTAGCCTTACCGGCACACGCGGGGCTCTGTGTCGGCGGACTTTTATTTCCCTAGCTACTCGTGGGAACAAAATGAAGGTAAATATTTCAAGGGTTTTGGGGAAGGGTTTGATACGTGAGGGTGGTGAAGGCCACGGCAACGCAGTGGGAGAGGAGTACCAGGAAGAGGCTATCTTCAACAACTTGCTGCAGGTTTTGGTTGAGCTGGGTGGACTTGTTAAAAAATACGGGACCACCCAGAGGGACATAAGAGTTGGAGTAGAGAATGCCTTGTCCGTGGCTCAGAGCCTCCAAAGGAAGTTGGCTAATGTAGCGGCTGGGGAGGGGGGGTCGGGGTCCCCATCTCTCTTTTCGACTCCTTCAGGGGAGAAGAAGAGGAAGGATGTGGGGAGCTCTCCGAGTCCCACATTCCCGGCGCGACCGCCGAAAAAAAAGACGCGGCGGCTGGAGTCCAGTCCGGATGAGAGGGAACGGACCCCGCCTGCAAAGGAAGGAAATGGAGACGGTAATCCTTCTGATCAAAAGGAATGGAAGACCGTCTCCAAAAAAAGAAAGAAAAAAAAGAAGGAGATGGAGAAAGAGGAGGGCGCTAATACGAAAAAAATTTCGGAGGGGTGCCCGCCTCCTAGCAACGCTAAGAAGCCGCATCGGAGGGCCAGGCCAGAGGCAATCCTCATCAAGCCAGCTGAGGGTAAAAAGTACGCCGAGGTCCTGGCCCAGATGAAAAAGGTGAGCCTGGACGAGCTCGGGGTGGGGGTGGCATCGGTCAGAGAGACGAGGACGGGTGGAGTCCTCGTCGAACTGCGAAAGGCCAACGCTGAGCGTCGCGATGCGTTCGCAGCAGCGTTAAAAAGCGCTGTGGCGGATGCTGGCGGCGTTCGCACCCTCGTCCCGCGTCTCGTCTGGGAGATCCGAGATGTGGACCCGACGGTGACCGAAGAGGAGGTTACGGCGGCGATAAAGGGTCGTCTCGACGGGGCTGCTCTACCAGAGATGGTCGTGCGGCTTTCGTCGAGAACGACCAGAGGAAACAGGGTCGCCTATATTGAGGCCCCTGCGTCTGCAGCGGCGGTCCTCGATAAAATGGACCACCTGCGGCTTGGCTGGGTCAACTGCAGGATTCGGCCCAGGATTAGGGCCGAGCGTTGCTACAGGTGCCTTGGGTTCGGCCACATCTCTCACCAGTGTGGCGGGCCTGACAGAGCCGGGGCATGCTTCAGGTGTGGCAAAAAGGGTCACGTAGCAAGGAGCTGCTCGCAAAAAGAAGCGAGCTGCTACCTGTGCGAGAACGTGAACCCGAGGCCGGATACCAGACATGTCGCTGGGTCTGACAGGTGTGGAGCCCTACGGGCGGCTGTGGGAATAGCTTCGAGGAAATGGCGCTGATCCTGCAGGTGAATCTTGATAGGACCGTGCTCGCGCACGATTTGCTGGACCAGTTTTCCCGTGCCCGGGGTGTGGATATGCTCTTCATAAGTGAGCCATCCCGCACGCTACCGGGCCGGGGCTGGTACTGCGACAGGACAAAATGCGCAGCCATCCTGATTCGCAGCGAGAAGTTCTCCGTATCCGACACTGGAGGTGGAGACGGGTTCGTGTGGATCAGGTGTGGGAGTGCTTTCTATGTGAGTTGCTACATATCCCCTAACATTTCGATTGGTGTCTTTAGAGATCGGCTTGCCGAACTCGAGGATACCGTTCGAGTGTGCAGGGAAAGTGGTGATGTAGTCCTGGCCGGCGACTTTAACTCCAAGGCCATCGCTTGGGGGGAGCCGAGAACCGACCCCAGAGGACGAGCGGTGTTAGAGATGGCTGCAAGGCTGGATCTCATCGTCATGAACTCTGGTGGTTCAGCAACGTTCAGGCGACCTGGCAGCCGGGGAACGATCATCGACCTCACGCTGGTGTCGTCAGAAATGGCGGCACGGGTCTCCGACTGGCAAGTCCTGGAGGACTACACGGCCAGTTATCACCAGTACGTCAGCTTCGTGATACACGAGGATCGTGGTGCAGCTTCGCGAGATGTAAGCCGGAGGCGCGTTAGCGGGTGGAACGTTGCAAAACTCAACCGAGATTTGCTACTGGAAGCCATGGTTGGCGCGCCGCCTCCAGCCGATTTAAACAAGATCAATAATCAAGCGGAGGCTGAGGCACTCGTGAGTGGCACTACGAGACGGGTCAAGGAATGGTGCGACGCGTGTATGCCCAAAAGGTCTGCCGGGAGGGGTCGACGTTCGTGCTACTGGTGGACAGAGGACATTGCTGACTTGCGCAGAGAGGCGCAGCATCTACGGCGTCTTGCACAGCGACACAGAACTCGCGAAGGCGCCGGGGCAGCTGCTGCCGCGTACAAGGAAGCAAAAAAAGCGCTGGTGAGGGCGATCAAGGTGAGCAAGAACCGATGCTGGCGCGAGCTCATCGCCGAGGTGGACAAGGACACGTGGGGCCTGGGCTACCGGATCGCGTTAAAAAGACTTCGCGGATCGGACCCGGCGCCGTCGATGGAACCTTCCTTCTTGGAGAGAGTGGTCTCTTGCCTCTTTCCGGAGCATCCCGCTAGGAGGGGGGAGGACATAAGTGTAGGACAGGTACCTCTCTTCACTCTCGAGGAATTGAGGTCGGTGGCATCGGAGACGCCGGGGCGAAAGGCCCCTGGTCCGGACGGGGTGCCGTCCGAAGTCCTCAAGATAATAGCTGCGGAAAAGCCACACGTTTTGTTGGACATGTTCAATGCGTGCCTGCGCGT